ACTCAAGGTACTAAGAAAAGTTCAGTCGTTTCGAATCGACCTGTGACCGATGTCCGAAGTTTTGAAGCGTACAGAAAGGTTCTCAATAGTGCTGAGAATCGGACTTCTTTATTGAAATACAGAGGCTTTGGTGATTATTTGAAATCAAGGGGCCGTGCTTTACTGCGAAGCTTGCGTTCTATATGGCAACATGATGAAGATCCAGTAGAGGTTTGGATATTTTTTCATTTAAGCTTTTGTGATATGAATCGGCTGATTCCTTTTGATTTTGTGAAATCGGTTGTCTCATTGTTCTTTACTTGGTTTGCAGGATGTACGATGTGAAGCGTTTCTACGACTTTCCAAAGAGGACGAGACAGCAGTCAAGCGTGCATTTTCATCTAATCCTCTGTATGGTTTTGAATCCTGGTCTTCTGTTTATTTGCGCTGAGAGCTCATTTATGTTCTTGTTATGCAATGCTATGAGCGTCTTTCGCTGCAGGAACATCTTGGTTACACATGAGAATTCAAATATCGACATAACAGGGGAAAACCTGAGGTGCCTTAAACCAGGCCAATGGTTGAATGATGAGGTTAGTCACCGAATCTAAATCTCACCTAATTTCTTTCTGAGTCTGAATATTATAATCGTCTCCAGTTAGAACCTCTATGATTAAGTAAAAGCTTGGAATTTTGTTCTATGTAGGTCATTAATCTTTACCTGGTATTGCTGAAAGAAAGGGAAGCTAGAGAACCAAAGAAGTTTCTAAAATGCCATTTTTTCAATACGTTTTTCTTCACTAAGGTTATACACATTCCTATGGCTTATGAATTTTAGGTTTTTAGTCCGTAGATATGTTGATGAATTTTAACAAGAAGACATAAAACCTTAAACCACACTTCAGTTAGTTAATCCGAGGACTGGATACAACTACGGTGCAGTCAGAAGATGGACTTCAATGAAGAGGTTGGGCTACCATCTCAAAGACTGTGACAAGGTAAAAACTTGCTGTCCGATTCTTCTGCTATTATTCTCTATATTACAAAGATATTCAAACTCTTTTTTCATTTGACCATCTGTCTAAGAGACCTTGTTTGTTGTCAGATATTTATCCCTATCCATATGAACATCCACTGGACTTTGGCTGTTATTAATATAAAGGACCGGAAATTCCAGTATCTCGACTCATTTAAAGGAAGGGAGTCTAGAATCCTCGATGCACTGGTAATATTTGAGGAAGTAAAAAAACCAGTTTTACTGTGGTGATAGTTTTCCTGATTCTTGTAGCTTTTCATTTGTCAGGCTACATACTTTGTCGATGAAGTTAGGGACAAGAGTGAAATAGACGACATTGATGTAAGCTGGTGGAAACGAGAATTTGTCCAAGACCTTCCTGAGCAGAAAAATGGGTATGTTTCTCCCAATAAGATGTCCAAAATCATGTCAGCTAATATACTAACTTCATACAATGGTAACTTTATTTATGTTTGGCTCTGCGTTTTGCAGATTCGATTGTGGAATGTTTATGCTGAAATACATCGACTTCTACAGCAGAGGTCTTGATCTTTGTTTCACTGAGGTAATTCTCAGGAAAGTACACCGAAAACTGCCATTGTCTTTATTGGGTTAGTATGTCATTGAGAGAGACCACGAATGCTTAAAAGAGAAACTGTTGGTGTGATTTCGACAGGAACAAATGCCATATTTTCGGGTTAAGACAGCTAAGGAGATTCTGCAACTGAAAGCTGAGTGATTGTCAGCAACAAAAAATAAGGAAACTCTTGAAGAAGAATAGTTTTGAAAGGTCTTCTTCTTGTAGATAAAGTGTTGTTGAGAAAGTTAGAAGCATGTAGGTGTTTTGGTATTTTTATGTTCATACAAAAAATGTGGTTTGTGTTATCTTATGAGAGGCTTAATAGTGAAAATCGAATTATTGTTACACTATTTTAGACTTTAGTACTATTACTTTTGTACTTTTCAGATTATTATTTTAAAATGAAAGAATTTCCCATGTAATAATAATAAGCAGTAACCAATGTTTTGAAAACTGGACCGGACCGGGGTCGGACCGGATTCGACTGCGAACCGGTCGGTTAGCCGGGTTGGATTAATCCGGGTTTGAA